GTTCACGCCTAGTCTGAGAACTGGTCCAAAGAGGAGGTTGCTCTGCCTGACTAAGGCCATTTGGGAGTATCATTCTGGGCTTGGGCACCTCCTGTTCAAGGGGCATAGCGTTCTACTCTAGCCTAGAGTAGAGAGGAAGAATTCCATAATGAGCACAACCCCACTGCAGTCAGCACTTCCTCATGACAGTCTACCCTGACTGGAGTCCCTGCACAGGATCTTTGTTTGCAAAACCTGAGGTCCTCAAGTCACTTTCAAGAGGATTGTTTTAAGGAAGCACAGGGACCAGAACTTTGGGTGATCTCTCACCCCATAATCATTGATTTGTCACCATTATGTTGTAGCTCCTCCTGGCTTTGTGATCATAGTGTTTTCTCTCTGCTTTGCTGAGTTTCAGGCTTCTGCACAACCTCTCTTCTTTCCACCGTTCATCCACTCAGCAACGGAGAGATTGGCAGCAAATATGGGATTCTTGTGCAAAAGTCCAAGAAACGAACATGCCAGTCATTTCTTTAGGAAATCGTGAATTGTGTTGCATGTTTAAATACCCTAACCCAGGGGTAGCGAACCTACTGCATCCACCATAACACCGTGGGCTGTCTGTGTCATTGAAAGCTCTTGGAGGCTTGCTATCACGGCAACGGTAGACGCTCCTTCATCTTGGTAGCCGTAGCAAGACTTCTGTCCCCACTTCCCTCCCAGAAAGATGCCTTCATGCCAGTGGTGGGTGGGCACGGGTGAGGCTGCAGCTCTGTGGAGAGTGAGAAAGGGCTTCTCATCATCCAGGCTTGCCTGAGCCGGGCACCATTTCAGGGCCGTGGTGGAGGCACGCGGTGAAAACTGACCGGAATTCAGCCTGCGCCAGCCTGACCTGGATGGCACCTTCATCTTCTAGCAGGCCTCCAGGCAGGCCAGGAACTTCAGGCCCAGTGCTCAAGAGCCATTTTCTTTAGCCTGCAGCACACCTGAAGGTAGGAAGCTCTGCACACTCTTACCCTGAAGGAATCATCCTGGTGGGGCATGTGTGTGACGGGGCCAGGGCCTGCTCCTGAGCCTACTCAGCAGCCTACAGGCCCAGCAGCAGAGGAGACCTAGCTCTGAAGGGCTCACTAGCACATGCTTCCCTGTCCCAGACTGATGTCAAGTTCCGGAAATGACCGCAATGACCAGTTGAACTAGTCAAAGTAGCATGACTCTATTTTGTGTAAACATTATAGAAAAGTTCTCTCTGATCACCACTGCTGGTCTGTGAACAGAAACTCATCCTTTTTTGATAACAATAACAATGATGTCCCCATAGCACACAAGCATGTAAATGTAAGAACATGAAGACTGTGGTAATACCTGTCTGGTTAAATGGAGAGAGACACTGTGGACCCTTCATGGACACAGGAATCCTTTGGAAAGGGAAAGAGGAGGTAGGTCAGTGTGTGGAGCACGAGTGTGGGAAATATCTAATGCCAGGGCCTTTGATGCTTTAACAAGAGACTTTACCAACACCTTGTCAGTCAAGGATTGGTATGCCAAGGACTTGAAATCTTTGGACTGGAAACCTGTAGCTATCTCAGTTACTCTTCCCTTGTTGCTGGGACAAATACCCAACACCCAAAATGAAGGAAGGGAAGGTTTATTTAGCTCACAGTTACCAGAGATTTCAGTCCATACTCAGCTGGCTCGAAGGCAGAGTGGCACATGGCAGAGGGCAGCCGTTCATGGTGGCAGTGAAGAATAGAGAACAAAAGGGAGGAGTAACAGCAACAATGGCTGAGGAGAGCAAATCTGTCTCCCCTAAGTTGCATTTAGTTTGTCTTCCCCTGGCTGAGTGTCATACTCACACTGCAATCCCAGCAGCACTCACACCCATAATCCCAGTGGATCATGAGTTAATCACCAACTCTCGAAGTCCACTCCATGACTTCAGGAGGCTTTGGTCCCCCAAATTAGACACAGACCTTAACAGTAGCCTAAATTGAGCAGGCTCATCTAGAATGAAAAGGGTTTGGAAATGAAATGGTTTTCTACGGGCGGACAAGATAGCTGAGCAGACTAAAGCACCTGCGTAGGCAAGCGCAGAGACTGTGGTTCCATCCTTAGCGCTACTTGTGTGTCAGCCCCACCCCCAGGGTGGGTTGAGCCAGCCAGAGTCCAGGCATAGTTGCACATGGCTGTCATCCCAGCGCTGGGCTGAAAGCAGGAGGATCACCACGAGTCTGAACTGCATAGTGAGATCCTGTAACAATCCAATACATGAAAATAAAGGTCTTCTACAGAATCCTCCAAACACAGCTCCTCCAGGCCCAACTGACCACTCATGGCTTGTAACTACAAAACAAAAGGGGGAGATGGGAGGCGCAGCTCAAGCTGGAGATCAGTGACACATGTAGCCCAGAAAGTGCAGCCTCAAGAATGCGGGTTCCTCTAGTCTCCAGAGCACTGCGTGGTTGAGGCAAGCATTGGGTGGAGGATTTCACATGACATTCAACCTCCCCAGTGTAGAAATAAATGCATTCTAGCTGGGAACTCCTTCTCTTCTTCTTTCTCCTTCAAGAGAATGGGGACCCCCC